AATTAGTTTCAAAATATATAAAAATTGATTTAAAAACATCTTGATTTTTCAAATAAAAAAAAAGTGTGCTTAGTGAATGATGCAGGTGGATTTTGTTTATTAGCAAAACTGTATGCTACTTTTATTTCAATAAAAAATGGTGAATAACTAATGATTTAAATAATTTAATAATAATATTTTTTTCTTAAAAGTAAAACATTATGAGTATGAATCAGATGGCATGCAAGTAGAGTAAAGGATAAGAGAGATAGAGTTACCTCCTTTTATGTAATCAACATAAAAAAAAAAAAAAAATTAAGGGTGAGACTTCCACTAATCAAAAACTTTTTTTGCTAAGTTTTAGCATGTATTATCATGACAGTTCAGACACTTCTTTGGCTACTCCCTTTCTTTTCAAAATATATAAAAAATTAAAAAGTATATTCATTTGTTAATTTTGTTAAACTTCTTAAAAAAATAACTAGTTTCATAAAAAAATATTTAAAATTGGCAATAAAAGTTTTGTCCTTTCTCACTCTATTTTTCTGGTTCTACCTAACTTAAAATTTCACCCAAATTTATTTTTCTCTTAAAATTTTACTCAAAACTTGTTACAACTTCATTTTCACCCCACCAACCTGAAATTTCTCAAAAATATTGATTTTTCTCGAAAATATTAATTTCCCGTGATTTTTTTTTATTTAAATGAAAATTTTCAAAATTTTTTGAAGGCTAACATGACATGGGAATTAATCCAAAAGATGTTGTCAAGAAAAATCAAGATTTAATTTAATTAATAATATAGTTAGATTGAGGGAAACAAAGGGAAAGAAAAAATTTTTCTTTAATTTATTTTTTTTAAATTTATTTAGTTATCCAAATAAGGGAAAAGAAGGGGAAGGAAATGGAGGGATATAATTCCCTTCTTCTCCTTGACCCAAACATAGTGTAAATGTCATCATTTGGTACCTAATGGAAGATGTTTAAAATATGCTTGGGAAATCTAAAAATGCAATTTGTTTAAAAATAAATTTTTTTCTCATAAATTTAAAAATTATATATATGAAAATTCAAATTTTAACTTTTAAAATGGCTTTATGTGGTTATGGAAAAATGAGGTGATATTTAAAGTAAGTTCAAAACTCAAAGGGAAGGTCGTGGAACTGATCAAACACCAAGTCAGAGTATCTTTGTACTTTTTATAATAAAAGTTTTTTAACTAATAAAAAAAAAGGCTTTTAAGTAAATTCTGAAAAAATTTCACAAAACTTGTTTAAAAACTATTTTAAAAGCTAAATTT